GGGAGTTTAAACAGGGTGGTTATAAATTAAGTATCCCACCTCTGACCTCTACAGCGCCTAAGGAGATAAATTATTGATTCCGCATCTATGAATAAGCATTCTTGTTAGATAAAAAAGATAGATATAAATGTACTCAGATAAGATGCAAAGTAGATACTGATTTATCAGCATACGTAAAAACCATGTGAGATACGAGGGGCGATAGAAAAGTTCTAAGCCCAAGACACTTCCAGTTGCAATACACCATTCTTACTTTTATGATGAGAAGACAGATGTATTTAAAGGTGACTGGCAAATTTTCATCTTATTTGTCGATTAAAGATTAAGATTAAGAGATCTGCTGAAAGATCGACTTTCAGGAGGTTCGAAAATTGATCACAGCATTCTTTTTAATTTTAATACCCTTTCAGCAGACCCTCTGGTAGCACATGTAAAAAAAATTAATCGAAGCCATATTTAATCGACGAACGAGATAAAAATTTGCCGGTCACCAGCAAAGACATCAGTCTTCTCATGAGAAGAGTAAGAATGGTGAATTGCAACTGGAAGGGCCTCGGGCTTAGAACTTTTCGATCATCCCTCGTATTTCGGTGTAACGCAGCGTGATATTGATCTGTTCGGATCACCCACTACTATGCACATGTGTGATCTCTGCGCATGCACGAATTCATTGTCGGGACTGTGCCGACCAGCCTATGGGGCCTCGTGCTACTCCTGATCCTTTTCATATTTTGCTGCCAGGCACAGCCATGAACCAATCATTCGAATTAATTTCGACGGGTGTGGGTAAAAATGTCAAGATGTTTTTAAAGCATCATCTAGATTCTGTTAAAAAGTACCTTGCCCGACTCTGTGTATATAATTCACGAATTTGACGACTCCCCCATCCCCAAAGGGATGATGCAAATATAATAGCAATCAGTCTCGGGAGAGAACTGTCGCGTGGGGAACTCAGTCGGATGCATTATAAGTATAGAGGCAGGTAAAGTCGATGAAGCACTGTAAGACCAAGAACAATAAGTTTTCAGTGAATCCAATCAGGAACAGACCTATTGGGTTTAGCAATGGTTTAGCCGTCGTAAGCACGTCACTCTTACCCATGAAGGAACCCTCGCTGTATCCGGAGCAAGAAAATGAGCCGACACGATGTGATATCCCAGGAGCTTTCAGTGTCCGTCTTTCTTTAATGTGATTCTTCCTTGCCTGTCGTCAGTTTTCTTTTCTTTGCCTTGTTAGTCTTTCCTGTCTCTTTCATCCACTCCTCTTGTTCTTTATGCCGGGAATCGCATTACTTTAAAAGCTCCTCCCCTCCGCGTCTGCGAAAGGGGGAGGGCGGCGGCTGTGGCGGCTAACCCCCTTTGCATGAGAGCTGCATCTATTAGTGTAGACACTCACATGCACTATACCAAGTCTTACCCTTTCCTGGCAGCGACGTAAGTAAAGAGATTTTCACGGGTGTCGCATATAAATGACAGTGGCGAATCATTGAACCATACGGATTTTGTAGAACTTCGCTATTTTTCACACTTAGCTGACTCAGTTCTGGAAGAGCAGAGGCGTTAGTTAGTGAGAATGGGTCAGAGGAACTCTGCAGAGTTGCCAATGTATTTCTAGTTCTCACTACGTATACCCCCAGGCATCAAGATTCTTTTTAGGATTTCTATAGAATCTCAATTGAAATTCTATGCAGCGATTTAATACAATTCTATAGAGTGAAATAGTACAATATTATAGACCCTATATAATTTTTTTCCTATAGAGATTGTACAGTATAGAAAATTTTTGCCTGGGTTTTCACTCGTCGTGACATGATGCAGAAAGCCGATATACATGAAAGCCTTTTGTTCCAGCAACTACATCTCCGGATCGAGAGATCTTAAGTCCAATTATTTGTACGAGTTCATTGTCTGCCGTTTGCCCACTCAGAGACTCTCAAAAACTCAGTCCACGATGACCGGCAGATGATCACTCGATAGATTTTCCACAAAGAGGAACAATCGTACTGCGCTTGTTTCGAGAGACTAGGCATCCCACCTGCTGAGTTTGAATCCATTTTACAGTATCGAAAATATTGAAAGATGGTCTTGAGTCTGCTTTTTCTGCAATCCCATGTGGTTGGGACGAGTAATAAAAAAAGGATGAATGAATGAACCCTTAGACGGCAATCATGATTGCAGAGAGAATATATGGTATTCCCAGAGAATATACATAACTATCCTGGTGGGACCCCAAGGAGAGAAAAGGGGGAATTCAAGATGTGAGACATGTTTCCCCGGTCTAGAGATTCAAGATGACGTGGAGAATGTGAGAGGTAGTGGGGACGATGCCCCTCTATCCTGGAGTCTCCTTCACCTCTTCAAAGTGATCCACAATCAATTCTACACTCCCACGTACCTCACCCAACTGCGACACAGCATTAGCAGAGCGCGCATGGAAAACGTGGGGGACAGGGAACTCTGGGACACTGTTATCAGGCATTTCATGCCTCTCCCTTCTAACTTATGATTCTTATTTGCCCCCCTTGGCTCCCCCGACGCCACGCCACTTAGCATGCAGTCTCCACATACAGGGAGTCCCACGTATTTTTTACACAATTGATTTTTTAAATTACTCAAGTTAATGCATTCAACCGGAAATTTGGAAATAAGGGGGTGTAATAGAATCTTTGGAAATTACGTTCGGTCACCCAGAATTTGCCAAGCATTGCTTTTTGTCCTGTAAATAGCATTTTTCAAATGCCCTCCATTCTGATCGATTCACTCCCCTGCATCGAACCGAAACAGCTTTCAATACTGCCTGGAATGGGTCCCTGTCATTAGGAGTGATAACTTCCCTCAGCATTTTCTTTAGGTCATCAGCATTCCTAGGTTTTTGTGACACACATCGTTTTTTAAGAAGCCCCAGAGAAAAAAAGTCAATAGCTGTCAAATAAGGAAGGGAGGGAATTTTTAAATGAAAGAATCGTTTCATGACTTTGTGCTATCCCATGGCCAGAACGCTCCCCAGACATGACAGTCCCTGACTGTTTTCTCTGGGGCTTCCTAAAAAGACAAAGTATCACACAATACCAAGGAATGCTGATGACCTAAAGAAAATAGTTAGGGAAGTTATTACTACCTTTGACAGGGACAAATTGCAAGCAGTAATGAACAATGCTTCTGTTTAATGCAGAGAGTGGGTCGATCAGAATGGAGGGCATTTGAAAAATGTTATTTACAGAACAAAAAGCAATGATTGGCGATTTCGGAATGTTGGAAAGTAATTTCCAAAGTTTAGGCCTATATTATATTATTTTCAAATTTCAGCTTGAATGCATTAAACATTCCTGAGTCATGAAAAAAAAACAACCAAATGTGTCAGAAATACGTAGGACATGTGATTCATTTCTCCTGCTCGATCCAAAACTTCTTAAAGTGTGTCACCTGAAACTTATCAGCCTTCTTGAGGATCCCTGGATTCAATTCATGTAAATTTGGTATCTGGACATTTTCGGAATAGATGAGGTAGGTAACGTATGATAAGACAAGAGGTCAAGCGAATTCTATGAAAATTTCACCCATCGCAATGATACATAACTCGTCTGGTTGGTTTCAGGTCTAAGATGTCGAAATTCCGAGTCACAAGGACGAATTTATGAGCCTGTACTATTGATACTTCCTCTCTCTTCAAAAGGGATTTTACGTTTTCAATGCGCCAGAATTCAAGAGACCTTTGAGCTTAGAAGGTGGAATATAAGATTCTACGACGATCTCCATGTCTTGAATTGCGATGCGAGCATGAATCTTTAAGCCCGCTTGCAGAGGGAATTCCCCTGTGTTTTCTGAGGAGTATCTTCCTCCTGATGAAATCCGGAAATCCTAAAATCACGGAACATGTGAACCCCTTCACTGCTCCGCTGATAGATTTTGTTCCCATCTTTGTCGATGTGAAATATGTCAAAACGAGTACGAACCTTGTAACTTCGATCTTTCTTCAATTGGAGAAATAAAAAGACATACGAGACCTGATGCTGATCAAAGTCACCGAAGGAGATGCAAGAAAGTTGGTATTCTAATTAATTCATGCACTCCATGCTCAAGATTTGATACCGCACGGCCGCGGAAACTCCGCAGAAGTCCTTGATGAACCAGAAACAGGAGCAGCCGACGTGGGCGTGAGGAATGAGATCGAGATGACAAGCAAGGCCCTAGAGACAGGAGATGAACTCATCCACGTTCCATCCCTTCATCGCACGTGTCAGCGATGGTGACTAATGCGGCCATTTCTTTCCCAAGGAAGGAATTCGTTGCCACGATACAGAACCATCGTTGTTGATTCGCATCACGTCATGTCGTTAGAACACGACATGAGAAATCGGTATAATAACGAGAGTAACGAAATGGTCTTCCCCTTTACCTCCCGTCAGTCCAGCCTGTATGTCGATGCGCTAGTTTCTGTCATGATATCCTCATATCGGAAAGTCAAGAACTCCCATTGTCAGGGCAGTTCCGATTGGGAAATTGTGTAACAATCGAAAGGCAGCTTTAGATGGCTCGCGAAATTTATGACGAGACTCACCCGAAGGAAGATGGCATCCTCGCTATCCCGATGAGTTTGTAATGAAGTATGTGCAGCAGCCATCCACCCATGGGAAATTCACGTTCGCACATCAACACTATATGTTTCTTCTACACGAGCGTGCAAAACAAGAGAAGTCGTATGGGAGGAGGGGAGGAGGATGAATCCTCCCCTATGACCTGATCATAACTGAAAGGCCCTGGGAGATTTAGCGGGGCTAAGACTTGATTTAGGTCTTGGCAACCTCCTGGTCTGGCCGTCCATTACCAACGGAAGGGGCTACCATCGATCTCGATCTCTACCATTGAGATCATCATCATCCATTACTGCTTTATGACCTGCTCGTTGTAGCGTACCATCCTTCTTCGGATCCATTGAGATGCAGGCTTCGATCGAAGAACGAAGAAATCGAGAAGTTAGAGAGGTTTTTTTTTTCATTTTCATTCTTCATAAACCAGTGAACTGGAGCTGGCGAGACAGAGCGTTTAGAATTTCGTTGACTCCGTATGTACCACACTTGACGCCGGCTACAGTGCATGCAAATTCCAGGACTTCTCTCAAGCTGAAACCCCTGGCAAGGGCAAAGAGGGTGGCTGCATTGAATGTATCTCCAGCCCCGAGTGTATCGATGACCTTGTCAGGTGAAACAGCAGGGACTGATAGCACCTCGCTCCCTTCTCCGGCACTCCCACAAGCACCGTCCTTTCCCCATGCGCAGATCACAACTGCCCTACAAAGTCATTATGACATTTATGATTCTCAGGGACCATCTCATTAGGGTGTCATGAATTTTTAGGCTCTCATCTTACGTGGGGTGAATGAGCGATTTGAAATGTTTGACGGCTTGCTCCTTTGAGGAGAATCCTAATGCTTGGGAGACGGTAGAAGAAACGAAGAGAAGATCCACGAGGGAGACGCATGAGAGAAGGCCCTGAAACGTCTCCTGAGGTTTAGTTTTCTCCATCTCTAAAGAGATCTTGGGATAGCCTCCTTTGGCTTGTCTTCTCCAGTCACGCACCCTCTCTATCATCTCCTTTACAGTTGGGTAATTCCTTCCCTAGATATATCCCAGATGCATTAAATAAAACTTAAGCCATTGCAGTACGCTCCATTAGGGCCACATTCATGAGGCTTTTTCTTCTCGAAAATAGACATTTCTATCACACCTCGAAATGGATCCAGGAATAGGGAGAAAGATGTACGGAGGAAAAGTGCTGTAGTGGTACTTCCTTGAGTCCTCGATTGAAATGCATGATGGTGCGACTCCCCGTCGATGCACTGAGGATGATACAAGACGTAGGAGTCGGGGTTTCAGCCTCCCATACGCAGTTCCCTATATCCACTCCTCCCGTTCTCAGGTCTTCACACAATTCGCTGCGAAGTCAAGGGGGAAAATGCTGATCAGTCAGAAAGAATGCTGTCACGACATCTTAATCCTCAGAAATTCATTTTGGGTCATCTGATTTAGTTATCCATCCTGGATACTGGAACTTATCATGGACATTTTACCAAGGGGTATCATCGCTAATTAAAGTCTCATTGTCTATTCTGTACATACCTCCCATCCCAATATGACGATGTCTCCAGTGATAGATGATTTAGAACAGCACGAAGGGGGGGGAGAGGAGAGCAAAAAAAAAATCAAGGAGAGGAAACGGCCGGAGGAAGGCAAATAATAGGGGCCTGCATGGGTCCCAACCTATCGACACCAGATAGCCGAAAATCAACACAGAGCATAAGTGGTTGGGTTCATACCGGCCTTGTTGTCCCATGATCACTCCCAGGTATTCCACCGGGGAACCCAAGCCCTTCAAGACCGTCGCCGTATTTGCAGCGTTCCCTCCTCTCCTCCATTGCTGATCTAAACAACTGCAACGATCGAACAATAACGAGCACGTTTGGCTCTCTCCAATCGACCAAATACAAAGGAAGAATGCCCAAAGCTTGGGTCACGTCTGTCGAGGAAAGAAGGCAAGAAAGCCACGTCCCCGTTGTCTGCTAATGATATTTTAGGTCCAAGCTACTGGAACTCTTTCATGTTCCTACAATGGCCGTCGGAAGGAAATTGGTTAAACGGTCACGTTAAATGCGGGGTTTGCCTTGCGGACAAACTGGACCAATGAGAGAAGATCCATATGGTTCTGCAGGAGAGTTAACGATCGCTAGCTAACAATCCATCTTCCTCCCCATGATCTAAATTGAATAATTCACTCCAACGATCGAAAAATGTAAATGGTGAGGGACTAGCTGAAGGGATGTATTGAGTTAATACCATGGTGATGATCCTTATTGAGCGAAAAAAAGTGCTAATATTGCATGGATATATTTTAACCTCTTAAATGGGGAGCTTGTAATCCATTGGTTTATCGCTGATGGGGAGTTTTTTTCCCGTAAAGTAGACTGATTTTGTGTTTTAACAAATTTCGGTTAACTTTCTGTTGTTCTACTGTAGTTGAATGTTATTGATACAAATGAATTGTAACAGCAATATGTGAAATGGGGTGGAAATATACGTCATTAGTGGGAAAATATCTACGACGAACATATCCATCATGTCCATCTAGGAGGCGAAAGAAATATTGCAAAAGGTCCGTACCTTTAGTGAACTAATTATACTATTTAAAAAAAAATTAAGGTTACAAAAAGAAATAAATGTTAATTTTAAAAAATAATTCATTTTTATCTCCAGATTCGATCCTCATTCTCGTGTCGTTCTGCATGTACTGTGCTTCACATGAGGGGTTATTCTAATTAATTGCAAAAAAATGTATCCAACATTTCTGAGTGGAGCTGATACAACTTGACAAGTGTAATGATATCATGCAGTGTCTGCATGCTGTGCATCGTCTAGCACCAAGGCGTTTACACAATTTTCATGAAAATTGTCATTTAAACCTAAAACAATAAGCATCACGTAGCTTTTCTGTATGTCACAAGACACACAGAAAAGCTACGAGAATGCTATGCTAGAGACAACTGCTGAAAATTCTTGGAAATTAGTCCCGTACTAGGGACACGGGTCTCATAGGGTAAAGGGTGTTTCAAGAACATGTGAAGATGCAATTGTATTGATATATTAAGGGACCATTATTAGGATCTCAAATGGATTATGATATTAAAATAGTAAAACAAAAATAATAGTAAAACAAAATAGGAGTAAAGCAAAAATAATGATTAAATTTATTTACATTACGGTCTTTACGTAACCATTGTTAGCTATTCAATATATGATGACAACGGAAACATGCTTTACTCGTACCGTTGGTCAGTGTCTTCGATGGGGTATTCTTGGCAAACGCAAACGATATCAAGGCAGAGAAGTCCGACACACAACACTTTCTGTGTCCCTTTTCCTTCTTCCTTCAATACTTTCAACACGACCTCTTTGTTCTGCATCTCGTGAACGACGGCGTCAAATTACAGTAGACACTTGTGACTGTCCACAGGAGGGCTGAGAAGAGAAAAGATGGAAGAAAATGCATCCTGTTCGCATGACCCTGTGGATGTGGATGAGTCTCATGCAGACGTGACGGCCACGTGATCCACATTACACCCTAGGGCTCATGGGAGTATATCAACTGTTACTGTGGCAAGGACGTCTGGCGAGTCAAATGAGCTACTGTATACATGTCTCTGATAAGCAACCGTCTTAAAGAGTTTCGGTGCATCCACGCAACGTGAGTTTAAATCGATTTTAACAAGAACATGGAATTTTCTAGTCTTCGAACAAAGCTTCAGGATGTATGTTGCTCTCGCACTATTATTACATGGCTACGATTGATTTTTTGCCTGCTCGGCAGAGAACGAAGGATGAGGTGGACTCCACATAACTTTGGTCCAGGCCTCAGCCTAGACAATAATATCAGGCCTATCGTGGTTTTATAAGCTAGCTCCGAATAGTCTTAGTCATAACTGGATAATTTTACCTTAGCCTCGACGTCCTTAGCATTCCGAGAGTACAAGTTTCGTTCACAGAACAGGCTTTGAAGTGAAGTCCACTGGTGGGGAAACTGTCAGATCGTTCCTTACTTCAACCTCTGTCAGTCGCGACTGGCGAACTCTGCCCTGGGCTATACGAAGGCAGGATCTTATCTTCTTCCTTATCGCTTTCATTTCTTGAAGGTGAAAGATATGCTGTGGCATGGGGAAATTCAAAAGACTAACTAAACCACTATCGAGGAGAAGAAAAGAGACCTGTGATGGCTCTCAGTTTCATTCGCGGTTACTTAGTTGCTACATCATCTATTCGCTTCATATAAAATGCTCAGCTACAAGAGGACGTATACTTGAAGGGGAGGCTGCAGGCTCTCGTCTGGTCTCGTCTCGTTCATGGGTGTAGATTACTAGACGCGTGAGAAACCTGTTATTTATTAACCCCTTAACGATCAAGTCCTGGATATAAATTTGTGCATCCTATGTACAACTTTTTTTTTAATCACTGTGGAAGTGCAATCGTGCAAGGAAACAACCCTCTCACTTTAGCATCCTTTATTTTTTTTAGACATAAATAAAATAAACAGATATGAGAATTCTTTGGAGTGTCGTGGGAGGCACGGCTGCGTTCACATCGGAATTCTCGGGCGCGACAGTTAAACTTCAGCTTCCTGAGAAGGCAAAGTGGTAATAAGATCCTCGATTGCTGAAGACAAGTGAGTAGTCAATCACTTTTCTAAATATTAACCAGTTAAACGGTTAAGGCGCGCGAAAAATCGGACCTCCTCTCTGGTCAGTAAAAAAAAAATTACCTATCGCTGATATAGCCCCGGCGTACAATATCCTTGAGATGGAATCTCAGCTTTATTTACATGTTTGTATTTTTCCAATTTCGTAATTTCTATTTTTAAATTCTACTTTCTTTCATGTTACTATATTCTCTTTCGTGTCGTTAAACTCCTTTCTTTGTACTTGTAAAAGAAACAGCAGGGACAATGAATTCCAATAGCGTTCACGTATATTTTTCTTCTATTGTTTTTGTTGCTAACCTTAAGCCCAAAGAATTTCATGAATTTTTTGCCTCTCGCTGAAAAAGAATTTAGGCTCTCTTGGCATTTAGGCTGCAATCTATACATCATTTCTTCGGGGGGAAAATTCTAGTTTATTCACCGGGGGGGGGGGGGGGGGGAGTTATTTTAAGCGTGAAGATTAACGACACGACAACGATTCTGTGTTGGAGATGTGGTGAGTATCTATCACCATGGTTAGCAATTATGGTTCCTTCATGTGGATGGAGTTGGGGGAATCGTAAGCTAAAAAGAGTAAGGTGGCAATCAAGGCTCAGCTATCCATGTGCCAAGCGACGATGGACATAAACGCTATGCCTAAGAGGATGTCACAGGCACGCTCGTCTCAATCCCTACTTTTCAGTCATTTGTGAATCCAAATAACTTGTAAACAGGCCTAATTTTACTTTCGCCAATCAATTACGAAGGAAAATCGGAAAATTTTCTGGGTTTACTATTATTCTGTTGGAAATTCAAAGAAAACCTAGAGCCATGAGTGTTTCCTGAACACCTTTAACGTGACGATTTGGTATTCGATACAAAAGAGAGACGCGCGTAGTAGGACAGAAAGAAAAAAAAAGCCTATTACATGTGTAGCAGATACCGATGTACGAATGTCTCAAAGAAAATGTTGGGATTGTTAGTAAGAAGCCCCCGATGCCCGGAAAAACAATTTTAGTAGAAGCAGCAATACATCATCTACGATGTTTGGGATAAATAGGCAATAAAAAAATGCACTTAAGCCACTGCAGGTCTCTCATTCCATTGAAATCAAGGGAAAGAGAGAATCAAAGAATAAGGCAGTATTACATGACACATCTGTCATTTCATTAGCGTGATAGAACGGTTCATCGATTTCAGTTTCACTTGCGCTTAAAGCAATCACTATTAGTTGTGCTTCAATGAAAGCAGTAAGCACATAACATGTTCTCGCCGTGCCACTTGTTCAGATTTTTTCCCCGTTCCAGGCCTTATTTGAAGATGGAACTGTGGAAAGATGAAAGCTTCATTTTATTGATTGAAACTGTCCGCTATAGCTAAAGAATTAATATTTTCGTCAATTATTACTTCCTAGGCAGGGCTCATGAAAACGGAAAAGCCATTTAAACATGGATGGATGGGACTCAGCTCCCGTCGCTTATCGATTAGATTTTTCTATTTAACCCCTCCTCTTCTCTTGCTCGCTTTTTGATGAAACTCCAAATTTCCACTCTCGATTCTACTTGATCTTCATTTCTCCGTTACTCTTCGCTGGACGACTCCTTCACTCGCCACGTGCATAGCTGTCCATTGTCGGACACAGCCTCATCAATTACATGCTCCATTCCTGTCTTCCCTGTTTTCGAATGAAATGAGCCCATAATATGATAAATATAATCGTTGGTTAAACCATTTGATCATTTCACATTTGCTGAGTACCTTGAAAACCTGTTATCCTAACCCTGAAATTACACCGGCACCTTAGCGACACTGGCCTTCCTTGTTGGAGGCGGAGAGCTAGGGGATGACTGCCAGGAAGCATCGATTCTTCGTGCCATATCGGCGTTCAGGTAGTTCATAGCTCTTGGTTGATCGAGTTGATAGTTGACATGGGGGCTGAATACTCCTGCCACTGAGGCTTAACTTCTACTGAGCGCGGGAATCCGTCTAGGCCCATTGAGTGCGACAATGGAACCCAAATAGGGAAGTTCAGCTAGAGTGCAGTTGACATTTGAGAAAACGGAAAAAAAACTATACTTGTTACTGCAAGACCAATGTTCCAAGTTTCACACTGAATGCAACTTCAAGTAGGAGTAATACGTTTAGGTACAGTATATTTGATTGTTTTTCATGCCAATCATGACGTCAGCAGCAACATAGCTTCAGATTCTAACGTTCTGATCCACTGATTTTGTGGCACACTCTTCTGTGGATAGCTGTAAGAAAATATTAGATGCGTTCAGAGACAAATGAAAGAGAGAGAAGAATTTAGCTGAAGGTAACGAGACAGTACATTGGCATGCTCTTACTAGTCGCAGAATGTTTTTTTCTTTAGAATATTTTCTTTCTGTCAGCGTTAATTTGGCTTTCTAAAGGGCAAGTCTACGCAGACTGTCTTATTATATATTGGGTTGGAAAGAAAGTCTTGCAACACTCTGCGCAAATTCTTGCGCAAAGACTCTTGCGAGTATGGTTGACGTAGAGGACCCAGCTCTCATCTCCAGCAACGATTTCCTTCAGAAGGTCCTTTCTGTGCGGACGAAGGAGCAGTGATTCGCAGACACTGACACGGCTGAGTCCCTGAGCTGATGAGGGACCCATGTCGAGTAAACTTTCCGTTAGCCGAGGTCGTTCAGATGGTTCCCGATGGCTATATAGGTGACTCCCAAGTGTAGTCACCAATTCGCGAGTGGTGGCGTTCGGCTACGCGTTGAGGGCGTTCCGCAGGGCTTCGTCAGAAAGTGTTGCAAGACTTTCTTTCCAACCCAATATGTACCCCCACGGCATGTACCTCCAAAGTCGGATTTTTTCTGAACTCTGCATCCCAAAAGGTGCATGAGTACCAAGTTTCTAACCTTTCTAGAACATGACTAGAATTAGCGTCGGTCAGTCACGATCATCTATATATATTAGATATCCTTTTTCTCACTGCTCATCAACTAATAACAGGTTCGCCTCTTTCCCGCTGCCGAAACTTGATCTACAGTTCACGATGGAACATTATGCATCAAGGAGACGCTGAGGCACAGCGTGCTACATTTTGCCAATATGTGCAAATTATAACTAAAATTAGTTCAACTTCAGTAAGTACATTTGAAATGAACCATGAAGAATCAAAAAACGGGGCACACGTGGGATCGAAACGGAAAGTTTATATCATAATGAATAAAAATAAACCCGACGAACGGATTTGACAATTTGCCGCCCGTGCGTAACATTATGCGGCAAGAACGAAAGTCAATTGGAAATACTGTATTATTGGGCATGCTGACATTTCTCTTTCGTAGAGTATTGCAATACTGTTATGAGTTTGGGAAGTTTTTTTTATTTATTACCATTATTAAATGTTCACTTAGTACTTCTTCGTGAACAACGAAGTGAAAGAGAATCCATTCCCAAGTGCGGATCTTGCGAATTTTGTACAAACTGCATGCCTAAAAAATTGATGTTCCATTGGGGCATCCTTCGTTGCAATATCCAATCTCATCAGTGTGTTCGACCCTCGAAAGGAAGGTTGAAAAAACCTGTTGGGAGATCCTGCCATTGTTGCGGCTTTCTTGCGTTCATGCCGTATTATGGATAAAAAAAAAACTGAACAGGGAATTAAACCAATATCACTTATCATCGGCTCGGGTCTTGCCCTCCAGCGTTCAACATTGTTTGCTAAATTCTGCTCGGGATGCATTTGAAACAGTGACTGACTTTGGGAAGAGGCAGTCAGAGAAGAAATTCTCAGGCAGATTATCGAAGTCATTTCCATCGATGCAGCGATGGTTGTCCAACCTTTCCAGGAATTCTGGATTGTGCGCAATCCATGCAATGCCACACCCACACGCGATATCGTTCCCTGGAATAAAACGGAAGTGAAGATTTTCATAACGGAAAAAAAATAAATATTTAGAATACGCCAAGTTATGTTGTATTGAGAAATAATAAGGAAATCTTTAACTTTGTCCTAGGACAATTGTGTATTTCATAAAATGTGAAAGAGGATTCATCCCGGCAGAGAACGAAAATCGGAATGCTTTGGTCCGTTCATGCCACTGTAGTGTACTAGCTCAAAGAAAAACCCTTCGAATTCCTTGAGGTTCCCCTTGTTTCCATGCCTTTCACGAAATCGAAGTGAAGCTAAATTAATGTGGAATTCAGAGGCTTTCTCTATACTTGGTGTACTCGAATGTCGATTTCCGTCCTAGTGCTTTTAAATACGTAAATAGTGCTTTAAAATAGTGCTTATAGTATAGTAAATAGTGCTTTTAAATACGTAAATAGTGCTTTTTAAATAAGGATGCATGGAATAATCGTATGCTTGATATAGCTATAGAACACACTAGATATGCTCATCAGAAGTATGAT